AACCCATTTAAGCTTTTGGTATATATGTCATCATCTCTATTAACTTCTCTTCTCTACTCCACATATTCTCTACCTTTGTAGTTTATGTCTATGAGTGTGCGTGACAAAGTGAGAGAGAGATCATCAGAAATCACAATATTAATTAGCTTATTACCTTCTTTAATCTATCCATCTTTTTGAAAACTATGTGGATAATGTTATAGGATGTGAGATATTACATGGATAAAAGCTCTATTTACTATTGACAATATATCTATTATATTCTATATACATATGAAAAGTATATTTTTAATTGTTTATTACCATTATTAATGTCTTGATCATCAACTTACAGTAACATCATTTTTCTTATTTCACTTTGTGTTTTCAAAATTTGATATATCATCTTGCAATGCATAGAGCAGATCAACATATGATTTGGAAGATAATAATTAAGTTCTAAAAACTTTTAGGTGGTATTATATCAAAGAAATTTTTTTAAGATATTAATTTTATTATTATTCTTTAAAATGATTGGCGATATTAATGTTTGTATAATTAAGAGGTTTGAATTTTAATTTATTCTATAATAAATTCTTAAATGAATAGCTTAATAATGAAAATTTTGTAATCATTTATTAGTTGATGATGTATTTTCTTTGATTGGGATAATATATACTATACTGATTAACAAGGTTGATTTGAGTAGAATGATTTTCTTCCCTTCAATAGATATGCACATTTGACAACATACAACTCATTTGCAAATCAAAGAGAATGGCCAAAAACAAACATAACCCTAAATATTACAAAGCTTCCAAGAGTTACCTTCTTAAACTTCATATAATTATCTTTATTTTTTAATATAATTGAATGTGAAGCCTAAGAACTTATTATTAATGTAGTTTAGACATTTTAAAGTTTGTTGCATGTTATTATTGATTGTAACTAAAATACTTTTTTTTTGTAGAAGATTGTTATATGGATTTATTATGATTAACTTTTAATTTTTTGTGATAAATTTTATACAACTATAAGTACTTTTATTGTCTTAATTAAGTTTATCAATTGTTGACACTCATAGAGGAAAAAGTGAAAAAACAAAGAGATGTACTAGACTACTAGGATCAATCTCTTAGTCTTATGGACTAAATTTGGTCTTATTTAACTTTAGATTACCCCTAGAAAGGACCACACTACAAATTACCTAATGTAGTCCATTCTATAAAAGAGACTAACAAACTTCGAGTTAATCTTAAGTTCTCTCCTATTATTCTTTTGTGTAGCTCAATTTCCAATTTGTATTTAATATTAAAAACATTAAAATTTTGAAACACATATTAGATGGTTTTGAAAACAACCATCCAATGTATGCCTATATATTAAACTATTATTTTTAGAACCATCTAATATGCTTCCTTGCCTCTATTTACTAGATGGTTGTACATATAACCATCCAATCATAGGTATCATAGATGAGTTATTTTACAGTAGTGAAGTTGGTTACTAGGACTCTATCTAACCTTGTGGTTACACTTTTGCAAGTGAAAGTGTTAGAAGGTAGAAGGGAGAAGGCAATCAAGACAAGGAGTAGACCAGTGCCTTGATTTCTGTATATGCTCTTATTGACTTTTGAGATATGTGTAATCATGAATATATATACATTTGAACATTGCTAACTAGGATCATATATTTATCTTTGGTGTACTTGCATTATTAATGTGATTTTGTAATGTTGTAATTTAGCTGGGATTGTGTATTTCATTATGTAATTGTAATGTTTGGTCAAATTACTTATGTAAGTGCATGATTAGCTACATAAATATATTGAATTGATAGTATGATTGATTTGATAGCCAACTGTTATATTATGAAATATGCCCCCTCTATGATTGGTATTGGAATTTTGTATGGTTAATTTATGTCTAGATTTTGTTATTGACTATATGATTGTTCTATTAAGTGAATATTAGTCCATTAAACATGCTTTAAGCCTCAATTGAGGCTAATGACATTTGGTTTGAATTCGAGGCATTTGTATGTTAAAATTTTTGTGAAAAGGGGCAGTTTTGAATCTGGATATTCAGCTTTTAAATTGTATATTTTTAGGATGAAATCAATACCATTAGCTAGATAAGTGAGTAAGTTATGTGCAATCACTTAAATCACCCTAATTGGACATTTGATGGAGAAACGATGCATATTGAAAATTTACCTTGACATGCTATCATAATCTGCAAAATGCTATATGGTGCATGGTGTCCACGTTGCAACAAGAAGCGTGACTCTTTGTGTTTATGCCATAGTGGATGGACCCTATTTGAAAAAATTTTAGTTTTTCCCTAATCTCAATAATTTTTTTTCTTACTTAATCCCATGCCTCCAATGTATTTTAAACTTTGATTTTTATCACATGTTAAGCTCAATCAATATTTTAAAAAAAGATTTTTATTGAGATCCTAACTTTAAGTGATTTAAAAATAAATTAGTTAATTTTTTTCTATCATGGTAAATTATCATAGTTAACTTCCAATTGCCATAATTGTGTGTTGTGTGTGTTGTGTTAGATCCCAACTTTAAATTATTTATAAATAAATTAGTTAATTCTTTTCTACTATGGTAAATTATTAGAGTTAGTTAATTCCTAATTGCCATGATTGTGTGTTATGTATGTTGTGTTCTAATAATGTCAAGACAGACATTACCCCAATTTTTTGAATTATCTCAAATTAGACTAGAAGCCAATTGTAGGTCTAACCGGTTGAACTAATTTATCACGACCCAAAAGTTGAGTTGTGATTGGTACATAGGTTAAGCTAATTCAATTTCACTTAGCCTAGCAAGCCTTTAACTCATTACATCTCTTGCACAAAATATCTCCCAACAATAAAAATCAAATGGGAAAACAATATTTGCATGAAACCATAACTATTCATTTGACATTACACCTTGACTCTAATACCACCATAGTAGTCACAATATCATGGAATCTCATAAGACTATTCAACTATTTGCAATCTACTCCATTTGTCTAAAGATAGCTAATCATAAAGCACTTTCGCAGTTGCCTTAGTTGAAAAAAATCAAGAGAGGAGTGAGTCTGTTACCAACTTAATGAGGGTATAAATAACAAAGTGCACAGAAGGGAAGCAAAGGCATACAAGAGTTTTTCATGATTGATTCTCAATGATGAAATAAATGTAATCATAGTGCTCAAAATATCAAATATTAGCTTTCACAAATTCTTTATATCCTAGAGAAATAATATTTCAAAGTTTTACTGATAAATCAGACAATCATGCAACAAACACCAAACATTCAATCTTAGCATTTCCTACAATTAACAATCACCAATTTTGATGGGAGTAACCATCCCACCTATAATATAATATATGCATATCCTTTCTATACACAATGATGGGGAATAACCATCTCACCCAATATTATATAATATACCTTATGATGTATAGCTCATGGTGAAGAATAACCATCTCACCTACACATCATATCTTATATATAACTCTTATATATAGTTGTGAGGAATAATCATCTCATTGAATAGCATATGCATATGAATATAAATAAAATAAAGACTTGAAAGGAAAAGAAGTTGGATAGAAAGACAAATAAAAAATAATTGAAATAATATTTTTAAAGAAAATAAATCTAACCTTTTTTAAAAAATGAATTTAAATTTATTTTGAAAGAAAAATAGAAAAAAATACATGATCATGTTGCAGTAATAATAAACCAACACTCATAACTATCATCATGCTTCCATCATATAATCACCACATCAACCTCAAATTCACATAATCATAATTTATAAAATTTTCACCCTGATTGCCCCTAACATCTAAAGACTACAGGGAAAGGAAAAAAAAACGATTTGCTTTCTAGAGAAAGAAAACTAAAAATAAAGAAAATGAATAGTTGAGGCTTAAAGAGATAACAAAGGTGAAAATAAATGTGCCACTTTGCTATGTACAAACTCACCTGACAATATGTTGACAATGGTCTTATTTTGTTATTGCTTATGACTTAGCTCCAATCGCAAGCCTCAGTTGCATCACCTATAATTATTTGGGATGAAGATATTGTCGTAACTACAAAACTATAATGTCTATAATTAATTGAATGCACCTTATATCAAGATCCTAATATTCAATACAAATCCTTGTTATCATCACCAGTCTAAAAATTAGTGTTTCCACCTAAATTCTTAATTTAAATTGAGTTTAAGAATTACCTTATAGACCAGGGAAATCAAAACCGAATGAGCCAAAATCTGAATAAAAGAATATATGGAATTCCAACTCCAACATCTACAAGTGACGATCTGGAAATATTCACGATCCATGTTGGTGGCGTGGCAACTAGAAAGATGCTAGCGAAGTCCATTAGGAACTATTCTAATGTAGAGAGTTACACAATTTTGACATAGGAATGTGCAAAGGAATTGAAGAAAGAATAGTAACATCAGGTTAGGTATTAAAAACGCTAAAGCCAAAATGGAAAAATAAATTTAAAGGACAAATGGAAGAGACTTAACGTGATAGTTGCTGTGTATGGGAGGCGAAAAGCAAAGTGAATTAAGGGTTGTGTTCCTCTTGACTTTGTGTGTGTGTATATAAATACCCACATGTAAATCTAAATAAATTATATTGAAGACTGGGTGAAATATTCTAAATGAAATTTTAATCTAAATAAGATATATCAATATCTTACATATTTATTTATTTTAATAAATTAGATTCTATTGAATATAGGATAGATATAAGTATTCAAATAACTCCAACAAAATTCTAAGATTATCTATTTTTTTATTTTTGTTTTCTACTTTATTATAATTTAATTTATCTATTTTTTCTCTCTCTTTATTTGATGGGTTATCACATAATCGATACAGCTTTTAAAACCTTGCTTAAAATAATATAGCCTACATACAAGTCACACAACATAGTCATCAATCAAAATCAAAATCATTGTCAACAAACGTATTTAGGCCTAAATTAATTTCATGCAAAACACAAAACCCATTATTTAATTTATCAAACAACATTACAATAATGCAAATGGGCCAATTTTAAAAGGGCTAAATTGGGTTAATAAAACAGTAAAATACACATACTTAATTCCTCATCTAAAAGATGGTAATTGGCGCAACAATTAATTAGTACATTTTAGTTGCTCAAATCAAAATATTTTCTTCTTCTTCTGCCAAAGTTCTCTGCAATGTCCTCTCCCTAGCCTGTTTTGCCTGCAAATTCATAGTCTTTCACAATGAGAAACATTTCAACTAAGCACTACATAAATATATTCAAAACTTACTAAAGAATCTTGATTGCTAAAAAGCAAAAAGGACATGAAACAAATTAAATCTCAAGATGAATATATAGAAATGGTATTCTTAAAAGTGAAGGACAAACCTCCTTTACCCAATCAGTACAACTTATTATGAGCAATAGCACGACCACTTGACAAAATGTACCAGTAGTTATTCCAAGCCAAAGTCCTTTTCCTCTCATGCATGCCCAGAAACCCAAAATTGCAGCAAGTGGAATTCCAACAACATAATAAGCTCCAAAGTTCACATATGCCCCAATATGCTGCCACCCACTTCCCCTAGCAATCCCTATTTTGGACAAGAATTAGATTTCATAATGCACTAAAACTAAGAGTTGGAATACAAGCACACAAGAGTATATTTTACCTGTAATGGTACCTTGCAAGGAGTCTAAAAAAACAGACATAACTAACAGAGGAGCTATATCTGTGACATAGGCTATTACATCTGGCTCGTTGCTAAAAACACGACCTAAAACATTCTGGCTAGCAAAGACAATCGAGCTTACTATAAGAGCCTCACAAGTTGCTAGAAGCCTAGAACATAAGGCTGACACACGTGCCTCTTGTGGTTTTCCAGCTCCTAAGGCATTTGAAACTCTTGTGCTTAGTAATACCAACCACAAGAGTCACCAATGAGAAAGAATTGATTAGTTGACAAGTCATGAACAAACTCAATTCTATATTATTGTAGATAGAAATAAATGGAAACATGTATAATGTATGGATGGATGTTATGTGATAAAAACCTTGCTGCTGAACCAATGGATTCTGGTATTGAATAGATTGTAATGTTCATTGATACACTGATCATAAGATTCAAATTTGTACGAAGAATTAGTTATTGTAGCATATTGCTGTAGTGGTTGAAACATTTAGAATAGAAAAGGCATACCATACGGCTAAGATTGAAGTTTCAAGCTCTGGGTTTGGTCGAAAAAGACCAGCAAGCACTGTCGTAAGCTCGTAAGACCACCATTGGAGACTGAAATATTCAATCATCATTATCAATATAAATATACCAATTTTCATCAATTATAATATAAAATGTATAGGAAGTTATATTATTATGTGGAGAAGAATGATACCAAGCCATTATAGCGGAAGGAATAGCAAAGCGAAAGAACTCTTTAATGCCTTGGAAAAGCTCCTTGGAAATCAGAACTCGAGTCTTTTCACAAGAGTTAGAGAATTTCATATATGACCCAAGTAAGATCACATTCAACCAATATGAAGTACCAATGGCAAGTGCTCCTCCAAAACGACCCATACCAGATTTAAAAACTAATGCCCAACATAAAGCTATGTGGAAGCATATGGTAAATGAAGAAGAGAGTACAAGAGGAGTGACTAAACTTTGCATAAGATAGTATCGAACCAAGGCTTGAAGTGATGCATAACCGAAAAGTGCTGGAATCAAACAAACTGTAAATTTTCCTGCTTCATGTGCAATCAAAGGGTCTTGACCAAGAAAATTCAATAATTTTTCCAAGTTGAGCCATAACAAACATACAGGAAGACAGCATAAATAAAGACAAAATATGCCAGTTTGAATTTGAACACCAAGCTTCTTATATTGCTTAGCTCCATAAGCTTGGCCACACAGCGTTTCAAGTGCAGAAGCCATTCCAAACTGTTAAGAAAGTACAAAATATGGAATCCAAAAAATGCAATTATTAGTTATTGAACAAAAGTACAAACCCCGCAAATGCTTGTAAAACATCAACTGACTTACCATGACACTGAAACCAGTGACAGCACAGAGAGAGATGGCAACACCAGTACTAGATTGAGCAAGTTTACCCAAGTGACCCACCATCATTAGAGCAATAGTTTGCAAAAAGAAGGTAGAAGAATTCACAACCACCATGGGCCCTGCTACACAACAAACCTCTTTCACTTCTTGAGCAAACACTTGCCATGTTATACGTAGATGATCCTCTTGGTTCCCCACCTGTGTGTTTTTCCCCAACAGATCCTTATCCATTTTCCTTCCTCTGTCTAGCTCATAGGAACTCCTGTTAAAAATTCGAACAAGAGATATCACTTCGAGCTCTGGATTCATGTTTGTCATTGTTAAGAGATATAGGCCATACTAGGATATTTGTCCGTAATTGCCAATAATTTATCTTGAAGTTCTTTAACCACTATTTTTTTTTTTCGTTTGAGTGATGGTGTGTTATTAATTTTTTTATCAAACATTTTTCCCTTTTATTTGCTATAGAAGTTTTAAAATTATTCTTGTGAGTCACGTGCTTCAAGGTTGAAGCAATAGTGATTGTATGTCTTTTCTTTAGCAATAAAATTCAACCGTCCACACTGAACAAATTAGATTTAATATTATTTATTTTTGTTATATTTTTATTTTAAAATATAAAGTATATAAAAATGAAGCTAATCTAACAGCTGCCACTTTGTCAAGGCTGAATTTATTATTTAAATAATATTAATTCAAAACCCATACAATATATAGGGTGTAAATCTGAGTTGTCAGACTTGAACACTTGCCAGCCAATACATTGCGCAGCATGATACAACTCAAGTGGCCTAGAGTATTGAACTTAATTTCATGATCCATTCCAAAAGAATTGGGGCCCTAGATTATGAGTTGAAAAGGGAGATGGGCTTGGCATGAAAGACGCCCAATTTATAATTGATGAGAAAATGAAGTGAACTCGGCCTGAAGATGTTCATAAGTGTAGCAGATGAAAGAAACAGACACTGAAATCGATAAATCTTATTACAAATTGATGAATCTTGCAGTATAAATGCTCTGGTAAGGGATGTACTCAACAATCTAGGCTCTGTTGGAGACATTAGTGGGAAGTTCCTAACTCTTATCCCTAAGATTGATGATCTTGAAAACCTGAACAATTACAGGAAAAATTACATCTAAAGACCTCCTAAAAAAATTATTTGTAGATAAGGATCAATATGAAATTGTTTGTTGTTAAGATGGTAATAGAGACTTGTTTTTTTTTTAAATAGTGACTTGTTGTTGACCTTTCCCTATGAATAATTTTCTCAAAAGGTCATTGGATGTGATTTTCCCAATATATTTTCATCAAATCTCTCTTTATAATGTCAGTTATAAAATCATTTTGAAACTTATTACCAACCATTTGAGAGAGTATATGGATTTTATTGTCAGTAGTGCTCAAAGCAATTTCACTAAGGTAGTAAAATTAGTGATAATATCATAATTACTTAGGAGGTGATTTACTCAATGAAAACCAAGAGTGGAAAGAAAGGTTTTATGGCCATTAAAGAGGATCTTGAAAAGGCTTATGTAGATTGTCTTGGACTTTCATTAAAGATACCTTGAGACTTGGTGAATCAAGAGATGAGTTAGAATCTAACATTTAGTACCTTTGATCCGTTGCAAGGCATTAGAGGATCAATGATTAGATCCAAAGTTAAGAGGATGAAAAAAGCCTTAAATTCATTAATTAGGGATGTCCACATGATCAAGGAGTCCTAAAGATAAATGAAGTTCTAGAAGATCCAAAAAAGACTCTTATTATATTAGGCCAAACCCAAGATACTTAGGCCCATAAGTCTAATTGGTTTAGTTAATGTTATTTTTTTAAAATTTAGGAAATTAGTTTATCTTATTTTATTTTCATATTTAAATTTTGGTAATTAGTTTATTTTGTTTTAAATTTAAATAAGGATACAATATATCCATTGAGGATATGATTTATCCATTTGAAATTGTAGATTAACTAGGATTGTGTTATTAAGGATTTTAGAAGTCTATTTAAACGGTTTAGTCTTTTGTATTTTTAAGAAGAATAATTGAATTTATGAATTGAATTATTTAATTGTAATGCTATTTCAATTAGTGTTGTTCTTCATGAGATGACGCATTATGGAATTTTGAATTATTGTGAGCTATCATTCAATTGCCTCGTATCATTTGGTATTCAGAGCCTTGGTTGCTTTTTCAGGTTGTGTCCTTCCATTGTGATTTTCCTTTGTGTTCTTTATTATTTACCATTTTTATCTTTCTCATTCATTCCTCTTTCCTTCCATATATCACTCATTTTCATTGTGGTATTCATTATTTACCATATTCATCCTTCTTATGTGTTCATCATTCCTTCCATATATGATTCCTTTTCATCATGTTCTTCATTATTTTTCATTTTCATCTTTCTCATTCATTCATCTTTTCTTCCTTATATCATTCATCCATTTTTTTTTCCATCTATTCATCTATTTATATTTTTTTCCTTCTATTCTCTTATAAAAAAAAACTCTTTTGATTTGTTATTGATTTTTGGATCTTTTTCCCTTATAGATTTAGATTGAAATAAAAGGCAATGTGCACCAAAGGAAAAAAACTAGAATTGTTATGAAAAAAGGAAAAAATTGTGCAAAAAAAAAAGAAGGTGCAAAAAAAATTTTGAAAAAAAAGAGAGATTTGAAATGAAAAGTTTATATGAAAAAAATAAAAAAAAAAGAAAGAGCAAAGAATCAATCTGATACAAAACATAGTTGATATATTTTTCTAATTTGGTGAATTTTATCATACCTTATATACCATATCTTCTATTATCTCATCTTTTTCTCTTTTTTTAATTGTATCATCTAATCTTATTTTATCTCACCTACCTTATCACATCTCAATTTTACAATTCCTATGTCAATTAACATTAGTTTCACCATAACTGTTATCTCACGCCATTATTTCTCGCCTATAACTTCTCCTTTACTATGTCAACTATTTTATCCCATCCAAAATGTTCGACTAATCCATCATCATGTGCTTCCCAAATTATTACTTCCCATAATGAATATTGGGGAATACATAGGATCTTTTTATAGAATAAAAACCCCTTATGCCTTTAATACTGGTGGAAAGGTTGTTCTTTAGTCACTTCTCATGCTCCTCGAAAGGCAAGGTCATATTGGTATAGCTCCTTGACAAATTCAAACCCAACAACTTTGGCTTAAATTGTTGATAGCAACACATGTCAACAGCTAAGAGCATCAGCTATAGCATTTGATGTTCCTATCTCATGCTTAATAAGGAATAGATAAGACTACAAAATTTCACTCTAACGAGCATGTTCACAACTAATCCTTTACTAAGAGTTCAAATACTTAAGGGCTTCATGATTAAAAAGAGTATAAACTCTTTACATAGGAGACAGTTGCTCCAATGTTGCAATTTCTTTATCATAAGTAGAATACCTAAGCTTGACATCATTGAGCTTCTCACTGAAAATGGTGATCGGATGTCCTTCTTGGCTAAGCACAACACCAATTCCTACATTAAAGGCATCACAACTGACCTCAAAAATTTGGTCAAAGCTTAGAAGGGCTAAGACAAGAGCTTCAGTCAATCATTTCTTTAGCTTTTCAAAACTCTTCTAAGCATGCTCTGTCCAATGAAATCTATCTCCCTTAAGGCAATCAGTTAATGGTGAGGTGATGGAGCTAAAAATTAGTGTTGGCTAATTATAGCTTTAATCTTGTTAGGATCAACATGAACACCCTAAGCAGTAATAATATAACCCAAAAATACAACCTGATTAGTTATGAAGTTGCACTCCTTCAAGTTGCCATAGAGTTTATCCTCTTGTAAAGCTTACAAAACTTGTCGTAAATGCCCAAAGTGCTCCTTTCGAGATTTACTATAGATTAGAATATCGTTAAAGTAAACAACTATAAACTTGTCAGTGAAAGGGCACAATACTTGATTGATTAGATGTATAAAAGTGCTAGGGGCATTAGTTAGCCTAAATGGCATGACTATTTACTCATATAGCCTATATCTAGTTTTGAAGGCAGTCTTCCACTCATCTCCAGGTTCGATTTGAATCTAATGTTATATACTTTGAAGGTCAATTTTGGAGAAGACAATAGCTATATGTAACTAGTCTAGCATGTCATCAAGATAGGATATCAAAAACCAATACTTAATAATGATCCTGTTGACTACTTAACAATTAATGCACATTCTCCAACTTCCATCCTTCTTGAGCACAAGCAATACAGGTACGACACACAGATTGATGCTTTCACAAAAAAATCCTTTCTTCAACAGCTCTTTAACTTGCTTGTAAACCTCTGCATGCTCCTAGGGACTCATTCTATAGGTAGGCTTGTTAGGAATGACGATACCTGTCATGAAATCAATGGCATGTTGTATGTCTTGTATCAGTGGCAATCTTAATAGAATGTCATATGGTATCACATTCAAAAACTCAACTAACAGTTGTTGAACATTTACTAAAATGGTGGAAATTGCAACATATGTTTCAAGCACCACGATCAGGCTCAAAGTTGGGACTTCTATTTTTATCACCTTGAACTACTCTCTAGTCACTAGGAATACCAGGCCAATGGCTTAGACTCTTACTTACTTTTTCTATACTCCTTAGGTGGTAAATCCATCCTTATTGAAAGAGTTGGTATTTGTACGGCCATAATGAAACACATGTCAGTCATACTGCTAAGGTCTTCCTATAGCAGATGACAGGCATCCATTAGCACAACATCGCACCATACTTCATCCTAGAATTTGTTACCAATGGAAAAAACTAACCAAGCAGCATTTAGAAACCTTTACCTCGCTAACTTTGTTAAACCATTGGACCTTGTAAGGATAGGAATGGTTTCGGGTAGGCAGTTTTAGGTTTTCCACCATATAGTTAGACACTACATCCTCATAACTTCCATTGTCAATAATGACATCGCATACCTTCATTTGAGTAGTGCAATAGGTTTGGAAGATATTATGGTAGAGCCAAGGCTCTTCCTTTACTTAGACCATGAGCAAGCTATGCCAGACCACCAACATCTCCTCATGGTCAGTAGGTACAAACTCTTCATCATACGCTAGCTTTTGGGTGTTAAATGAGGATTCTTCCTCTTCCACGATCTTATATGCATCATATGGGTCTCCTTTTATGTTAGTGATGACTTTGCAGTTGTGACACTATGAAGCAATGTGTCTAATTCCCTGGCATTTGAAGCATTGTATTATCTTAGATCCAAATTCTCTAGCCTTTAGCAGAGGCTTGCTAGCAGTGGTAGGATGTCGGGGTTAAGCTCTAAAAGAACTAGAAAAATCCTAAGTCCATGAAGATAGCTGGTATAAAGCCCTCCTTGGTGTTTGCTTCTCAATACGAATTGCTAGTCAAATCACTTCGTCTAAAGCCCAATATTGTTGCAATTGCACCTGATAACTAATAATAGTGTTTAACCCTCCTAGATAGCGTGCTATGGTCTACTCCTACTTCTCCTAAATGTTGGATTTCATCATAAGCTTTTTGAACTCTTAAGTATACTCCTCTACAAATTTCACTTATTAGAGTAAATTCTGTAGCTGGATGAAGTTATCCTAGTAATAATGTGCAGGAAAAAGCTTCCTAGTCAGTTCACACTTCATTTTTCCCAAGTCTAGATCTTGGTTTTTCCTCCTCTCTCATACTTTTTCTTCAAGTTTTCCCACCAGATGGATGCATACTTCTTGAGTTTGATAGCCATGATCTTAACTTTATGCTTGTTAGGCACCTCTTTGAACTAGAATTTGCGTTCCACTGTTTGTAGCCAATCGACAAAGTCATCGGGATGGAGTTTTCCCTCAAAATCAAGATTTCCACCTTAATATCACTGTTGTGAAGAGTTTTTCATTGATCTTGATGGTGTCCAATAGATGATGAACTGCTGCTACAAGAATCCCTTGTCAGGTTTCCTCCATGAGCTTCCAATAAAGCTCAATGCAGTTTAATGGTAGCCTCTAGTTCTTGTATTCAACGTCTCATCTCATGCATCTCAACTTTGTGCACATTCTTGCATCTTGGAGACATTTTGTCCTGTGTCAAGGCTAAAATAAGGAATTTCTAAGAAAAAAATAAGTGTAAATTAGTGAATTTAAGGGCAAAATGGGAAGACTAGAAAGGTTTAGGAGCAACATGAAGATTTTAAGAGGATATAAGGGTGAAATGGGAATTTCAAAAAGGAATGGGGGTAAAATGAGAATTTTAAGAAATATAGGGGAAAACAAGAATTTAAGGAAGTACAGGGGCTAAAATGAAATTCTTGTAAATTTAAGGGGTCAAAGTGTAATTTATGAGAAGTTCTAGGATGAAAATGGAATTTCTATAAAATGAAGGGGTCAAAGTGAAATTTTAAAAAGTTTAGGGGTCAAACTGTAATTTAAAAAATATAGCTAACTGGGCAGGATGACATGGCACAATGGATACATGGCAAATTCTGAGTGGATGACCTGTTGCTGACTAGGCAAATCTAGTGACATGGCAGATGGCGTCAATGTCTTTAACCTCCAGCAAGTGCGCAAGTGGATGGTGATGGCCCCTAGATCTCCAGCAATGGTAGATGAGGGCGTGTTAAATATGTTTCATTGACAAGAAACCTCTTATTCGAAGGTTTAAACCTCCTGAGCATAATAGTGAAGTTAGTTTCTGGAAAGAACGTCTGGATTGCAAGGTTCGAACATGCCAAGGACTCCTCCATTGAGTGTCTCTCTCCTCCAACGTAATCCCTCATTCTCACCTCACTCTCTCACTCTCTGGACCTCTGGGAACTAGTTCTGATAATAAAATGATATAGAAACCACACTCTAAACAAAAGCTCTCTATTTATTCTCTATTTGATATCTTACAAGTGAAATGGAACGATTATTTACACAGAGTCTTAAAGAACAAAGACTTAAATGCTGAGGAGGGATCGTTTTAGCTGTTACATACTTTTAATAGGTTGGGAAGGTTATAGAGAGTTACTGAGCATTTAAGTTTATCAATGAAGACGTTTCGGACTTCAGGGAGTTATGTTTTCAGGCTTCTGTTTTAGAAGTTAGAGAAATGATAGAACTTAATATATTAATGTGTATGCATATAGACGATGATGGCAATCCTCAAAAACTCATATTTTTGATTGTGCATCAAATATATCAACTGTCTTTTGGTTTTAACCCATTTGTAGAGGACAATTACTTCATCCTCAAGTATTTCTCGTCCCAAGAGAGAATGATAAGTCAAACAAGGATACAAATTCATGATCTAAGAACATGAATGTTGGACGCTCCAGTGATAACGATAATGCAAGAAAATTTCTGATTTCACAATGGGAAACAGGAAGAGAGAGAGACGTATTAGTTTCTGAATCTGAAGGCTGACTTACCTCTAATAAGCTTCTGACAATGGAATCTTGAAGATGTTACCAAATCCTTTGGATCAGTACGGCAGCTCTGAAAATGAAGAGAAAGATGAAAGTGAGGAGGATGATTAATATATATCCACGATAAATGATACTTCCTCCGTCTCATTTTATAAAATATTTTTGTGTAAAATTGCAAATACAAATGAAATCAATTAAATACATTTTGAATAATCTTAATTTTTTTATAAATTTTTACAAATACCTTTCATTTTATAAGGAGGAAAAGATAATAAATATATATATATATATATATTTATTTAAGGAGTGAAATAATGAGGGATAATTAGAATAAGCTTCATTAATGAATAATTATTTTTCTTATAACATTTTATATTACGGAACATCGAATCACTAAAAAAAAAAAACATCTGATAAAAGAAACATAAGTCGTATCATCCCAAACTTCTTCAAGCTTAGATGAAAAGTAAATCAAGCTTTCTGGAAAACTATATTAATTACTCTTTGCATTTCTTTTCTTTTTCTCTTTTTGATAGATTACTTACATGTCTTTTATAATGGGGATATGTACCATGTGTCCATAGCAGAGGAGGCACTTTCTACACTAGTTTAATGAAAATTTATGCCCGTAAATTTAACTGGTGTAGTAGAATTTTCTACAATAGTTAGTTTGAGAACCAATGTAGAAAATCCAATGCTGTAGTTAATTTAGCCTGTGTAAGTGTAATAGAGTTTTCTACGCCTGCTAAGAACCCATATGAAAGTCTAATGCTCTACACCAGTTTTTTAACTGGTGCAGAACGCAAGTGTGAAACTATTTTCCGCAGCAGTAGTATGTGAGAGTTATGGCTACTGTTAGAAGCTGCGCAAAACTAAATTCCATGTCTTTTAATTTTTTTTTTTTGAATAATTTGAATCTAATCGCTTCAATTTTACAGTTGTTGAGTGTTGTCCCCATGTAATCCTCTTCTACCTTCCCGATATTGCAGATGCGGAAGGAGAATTAAAGAAACTTATGAGGATTCATTTGTAGCGGTTCAATCCAAACACAACATGGGACGCTTCTTTATTTTAATTGATTGATTGTTTCTTTATTGGCAGTGTGATTGAACCTTTTATCATTATGAGGAAGGGAAAAAGTAAGAGTTAAACTTGAAAGTGATATTATCAGCCAATAAATTGGGCTTACTTGGCTTTCTTTCATTGAGAGACAGAACTATCGTAAAGCTAAAGCCAAAGCTAAGATGAGTGAGTTTGAAAAAGAAACGACAAGCCCATTCAGAGACAGATCTATCATGAGCTTCTAGGACAGAGGGAATATGAGGTATTTCAAGAATAAGTGCCACGTACTCCTCTCTCCGTGCCTTACTCATCACAAGCACTTGCACACCTCCCCAATCTCCGCCATCTATCTCTCTGCCCAAAGTTGGCATCATCACTTAGCGCTAGCTTCATCAAATGGAGCAGAGATACCCATTGGAATTGGTGAAAAATTAATTCCAGGGTAGTTTAGTCATTTTATAGATGCATATTCGAGTTTATGAAAAAGCTTCAGGATAGTTTGGTCATTTCATACTCTCCTCTCCCAGGAAACAAGTATCCCATGGAGGCAGCCTTCTGTTGCTGCCATCAGAGTTCCGACTCCCAACCAAACAACTGAATTCCGTTGTTCATTTCTAACTCTCTTCCCACCCAACGTTAGAGTCCAAAATGCCAAAATTCAACCATCGAATACTCATGACGAGGAAGAACTAGAATAATTTAAAATTGCCTACGAGCTAGCGAATGTATACCAAGCAAAAACTAGTCAAGCAATTAAGGATCGAATACGATGAGACAAAAAATGAAAGTTAGTTCTTAAAACAATGAATCAATTAATGATAATTAACTGCTAACAATATTTGTTGAAAATTAAGTTAAAAATTAAAATATCAATTTAAACAATTATAAATTTTAGAATTTCTCAGATTGTAACCGAAAACCGAGACTTACTTTAGTATCTGACTCAATTGATATTTATAACTATTTTTTTTAAGAAAAATGTAAGCGGAAAATGGCTCCATGCAAAACGGACATAAAGAAACGGCAAAGCTTTTCCCTGCTGAATGCAGTGACCTAGTTCTTGTGGATAAGCTACGGTTTGTTTAGTTTGTTTTGGGTTATTTCCCTTCTAGCTTTTCTTAACTGTTTGACTCTACTTCAGGCTTTGACCTGCCTTATCTATTCAAAAAAAAAAAAAGGCAAAGCTTCTCTTCTGTTGCATCTCTTGTGGTTCCCTGAAATACACTTTCACAGTTCATGTTTTTTCTTTTCTTTTTTTGCGGACTTCTGTTTCTTAAGACTTACCATCATGTTACATCTAGAGTTGTCTATTAAAGGTTAGAGCATAAATGGACTGATTTTATAAAACTCGATTTTACTTTAGAGCTTAATTTTGGCCAACACAACCTACTCTCAAAGCTGCTATTCCTATATATATTTTTTTAATTTAAAATTTTAAAAAATATATTTAAAATTTAAAAAAAAATTATTACAAATAACATTAAATATAGCATAATAAATTTAAGACAATACATATAACAATAAATTTAAGTTTAATAAAAAGTAACAACATCACAAAATCAACACCAATAATAATTAAACTTATATCATCAGCTAAATCTTAATAGTTTTTATTATTATCAATATCAATATAATTTAATCTTTTTTTTATAAAGCCTCATCAGTTATTAAATATAATATTTTCTTTTGAAGTGTTTATTTTTATATTAAATTTAAAAATATATATAAAAAGATTTAAAAGGGTTAATAATTTTATTTTTGAGCTTTTTAAGTCCGATTTATTATTATATAGTTTAAAGAAAAAGTCTAACCTTATATTTTTTTGAATTTAAAAGGGTTAATCTGTCGAGTCCGAACTTAACCAACGGCTCTAGTTCTGTTCAGAGGATGGAGAGAAAGCTTAGACGGTAAAGTTAAGGAAAGTTAAGAGTCTATTTCAAGAAAGAAAGAAGGAAGGAATGGTACCTACAATTCTCGCCAAAGCCAAAAAAGAAAAGAAAAGAAAAGAAAAGAAAAACATAAAAAAGCCGCGGCCGAATCCCAAACCTAGACAGATAATTACAACATAAAGTCTAGATGACGCTGTATATATGTGTGTGTGATATGTGTGTGTATAGAGAGAGAGAGAGAGATAGCAAATGTGGCCGGAAAGGAACATACCGGTCGCTGTGTTGCTCGGTGGCGCTGCGCCGTGAGAACGAAAGATTAATGAGGCCACAAGAATGGTGCGAGAAGAGAGCTGGTTTTGTGTGTGGTATGGTAGTACTGTGTGGTCCTCATGCAAAATTTTCCCTGAAGGTCGACCTAATGTGAAACATTATTTCTCATTCAGGACTACAAACATTGTCAACCTTTCAGTTTTATGAGTAGATGATGATGCTCTTCTCTATCGTACTCTGTGTTTTCCGCAAGTGATCATTCTTATCCATTTTTCCTTTCTCTTTTAGGTCACAGGTGTCAGAACGCAGAACTTGTTAATTAGAACGGCAAGAGGTCATATCGGTCCGGGCTCTTAATTCATGTTTGTCTGTATTGTTAACAGAAGAACAAATTAAACAGTAGAAGACGGGTTCTATGAGGTGTCTACATTCTAGTAGAAAACTACGCTACGTGTTCTATTTATACACAATATTTGGATGTCATGTGAAAATATTTGTCCTTCAGGAGAAGGAAGGACCACAATACTTTTAAACTGGTCTTGTAAAGATGCTTTCAATATGTGAAAATGACTGAAATAATACGCTGCTCGTTGCTCTTGATGGAAGAAAGTAAAAAAAAAAAAATGCTTGGATCTAAAGTAATATTTGGTTGAATGGTTGCATGATTCAGAAGATATTTCATTTAATATCGATCCCAGTCCCTATTGCTTCTTATTGGCACAAAGGAAGTAATTTGTTTTCCCCTCTTTTAAAGCTTCTTGGCACCATCTAAAGGGCATATCGGTTATTTCACGGTTCATCTAATTAATTGTTATTTTATTTGGGGGGGGGGGGATATAGACGTGCAAGCTATGCATGACAGATGCGATGATGCTATAGACTCTTTGTAGGAGGACGCGACACCTGTTCATCTACGTGTTGGTAGTAAAAGAAAGGGTCAAGGCATGCGACCTGCCACCTGTCAGCACAAAAGATCCTCAAGTCTGATATGCTGGCCTTGTGTTCACTGACACAAGTTTTAATAGATCAGGCCCATACATATAAACTCGATAAACATGGGGTTTTATTAGGATACAAAGGAAGTTTGGATATTTAAGTGTAATTAAAATGAGGATTTTAGTGTAATATTCCCTTTCTTCCTGAATTGTGGAGGGAACGGTTGTATGCATGTGTGTAAACCATTTCTTGAGCAGGTGTTATATATGGGACACATGAAACTAGAGGGAACTCGCTCTGCAATATCAGCAACAAGCAAAATCTTCTCTCTAGTTTTCTTCTCTCTGTCTGCATCTGCTTTACTGTGTAGAAAGAATCGAGTTCTACGGCAACTCAATTCTCGCGTAGTGACCACTCCATCGGCATGCAAACAAGCATGTTTCTCCATAATCATACGCTAGCATCAGAGCTTTTGCTAAATCCTAGGTTGTGTCTCCGTGACTAAAGAAAGATATCATTTGCCTACAAGCATTCTATGCGAATCTACCATACTTTTATATTTTTCCTTTTACTGTATAACTGTTTTCTACCTTTGCTTTGTTTTTCCATTTCTGTTTCTGATTTAAGAGCTTGTTGTGTTATTTTTTAGGTTATATAAGTTATATATGTTCATGAGTGTTAGCTATTTATGTTGTCCCTGTGTAAAACTCCAGTAACGTTAAAATGAGAGGATAAAATAGAAAATTGGGTCTCTGAAAATGGAGTTTTTTGGGCAGCAAGAGGTCATAAACTAAACCAGAAGAGCACCAAAAAATAAATAAATAAATAAATAAAGAACAAACAGCGCCAAGAATCGCAACGATGGCAGATGGCGAAGACATGGCTCCTCGTAAGATTCAAGTCTAACTAACTCGACCCAGAAATTCAATCGAGCAAGCATGACTCGGCTGGAGGACTGGGACAACGGAAATGCACTGTTTCAGTGTTTATAAAAAAATTGTTCTGGTTCTAGGCCTGACGTGATCTTGGGCCTAAATGTATTTCGAAAAGAAAGATTCTTAAGCCTAGAAAAAGTTTGGGCTACGCAAATTTTTCTTTTTAAAAAGGTTGAATGGTTTATATTTGGGTAAACGAAATGAGTCAGATCTGATCAACCGACCTATCGGCTTTTAATAAAATAATATATAGATATGTATATTTAAAAGGGAGGAAAATGTATCAAGTTGTATGTGGAGCCCACTGAAACAAGGGTGGAGGCAAGAAATTTTTTAAAAATTTTATTAAGGGAGGCCGAGGCAAGAAATTTTATCAAGGGAGGCTGAGATGAAAAGTATGTATAATAATTAAAGAAAAGTTATATATATCACCTATATAATATAAATATTTTAATATATATATTTATATTTAATTACACATATATAACAATTTATATGTATATATATTTTAAGTTTTGCTCATTCATTTTTTATGATACATAAATTATTAATTATTATGTATATAATGAATATTTTAATAATTTTTTTCAATATAAATTATCATTAAATTGGTGCAAACTTTATCATCCCTACGAACATTAAATGATTTAAATATATCAATAGAATCCAAAGTTCTGCTCAATATAATAAGTTCTATTACTTACTTATTGAATTTATTATCCAATTTTTTTAATTGATAATCTTAGTAAACAAATATATTAACACATTAATAATGTTCGATTACCATAAAATCTTTATGTCAATGAGATTAAATTATATCAGAGTAAAAATCACTCATATCATAAATTTCAATAGCTTGATTATTTAAAAAAATAATTTTTTTTCTAAAAGAACATCTTCACCAAACTTTTCAATTTTTGGACAGGTGATTTTTTTTTTGGATGAAGTTTGGACGAGTGATTTTATGATAGATATTAAGTACAAAGCATTTAATATATCTTAAAATTTTTATTGCAGTACTTAACCAAGTTTGTTAATAATAATTCTCATAATTTCTTTCATTAAACATAAAATAAAAGAAAAAAAATGACATCAATGCTTTAAGAACATTTATAGCATTATCTTGTTAAAAATAAGTAAATCCTATGACAACCATATTTTCAAAAAAATTAAAATAGTTGCTCTATACATATGTAAAATATTACATATAACATTAAAATAAAAATTTCATCTAATATTTCATGACTTCTATAATGTGCCAACTTATAGAAGCCAAAAAAATATAACCTCTATATTTTATTAAAAAAAGTTAAAAAGTTAAGGGGGCTGTGGCCCCCTACCAGTCCTCCTTCTCTCCACCCCTGCATTGAAGTACTCAATGGACGTGTGGACTATGCCACCCAAGGCAACTCAACAAGTGGCATTTTGCAGTACAACAAGTGGTATCTCAACTAGCCTCTAAGCATGTTCGGATAACATCTCAACTTAGGTAGGGATGGCCCAAACCTAAGTTGAGATGTTTAAAACTCAATTTATGATGTTTAGATAGCAAAAAATTTTCAACCATAGTGAGCTCCAAACTAGCATTTTGGATGAAGCTAATCTGCCTAGCTTTCTCATTTGTGTTAGGGTAAATGAACATTAGTAGCATTAAATGGTTTTTCAATTTTTCTCCCTCTCTCTTTATTGTTTGCTACTTGAGCCAGTGTGATTGAAGCCTTTCATTGTTGTCACCCTATGCTAGCTCATCCCTTGCTCGCCCTTCACCCACTAGATCTGACAAGAGATCACAGTCGCCACAAGACCTTATCTCCACTATGTGCATTGCTGCCGTGCCTTCCCCCTTACACTACTTCTCTCTCTTCATGATCTCTATTGCCCGAATCCTTGCTTTGCTTCATTTATTATTTTCACCTTTTTCTCCTTTGCGCTGCCAAATTTCACCTACGATCGCAACCACCGGCACCACTGCTATTGTCTGATCTCAACCTTGTGTGTTACTCATGTTGATTCTTGCTTCTTGTCATCCCTTCTTTTTAGGTTAACATAGATTCTTCTCCTATTGAATCTGTGTTTCACTGCATGGAAATGATCGTTGCTGCCATCTGTTATTCATGTGTCAAGTTAGGAGTGTTAGGATCTTGGGATCGAAGATGGTGGAGGAATGATGCTTGCTTATAGTATGAATTAAAGACGGCAAAAGAATGTTGATCTTGGTATATGAGGACTTGAATTTTTTTAGCTTTTCATAATTAAATATTTGATTTTTTTATTAGGTAATATTATATAGTTAGAATTGAATTTTTTATTTTATATTTTTTTAAATATTAATATTTTAGTTATTAATTATAATTTTAAGTTTAATATTTTTTTATTTTTAATTAGTAACAAAAATATAATCAAGAAAATTTAGGTTTATTTTTATCATTAAACATCTCAACTAACTTTTACCTTAAATCACCCAAACAAATTTTAATTTATCTAATTGACTTTTGAAAAAAAAATATCCAAACATAAATCATGTTATATTTACTGACTTTTTTTTTCTAACCTTAATTGAATTCTAACTTTAATTATAAATTTTTTAATCCAAACACACACTTTATCCTCTAAGAAAGGTCATCCATGGGAGTGAGCTAGCTAGTCTTGTTTTTCCTATTTGTCTAGAAATTTTAATTTGGACTAGTTTTAGGGGTGCATATGGGCATGTGGGACACTTGATTGAGAAGCGAATGTTCCAAAAAAATTCCTAAATTCAATATATACATTTTGATATGTAATTTATCTATTTTTAGGCACTTGTGGATTACTTTAATATGCTTTTAGTACTTATATGAGTGTATTTTAAGTATTTAAAAATCATAAAAATAATTATAATTATTGAAATTATTTATCATATGGGAAAATATGAATAATGAGTTCACCAAAAGCATTGAAACATTGGAGAATGTCTTTCTAAGTGGTATTTCAAAGAAAACATTTTTAGAATGTGATCCTTTGAGTAAAGATTCTAAAATGAAACTTGTGGAGGTTTAAATACCACTTAATACCATGACACAAAGGAAGCAAGTTAGCCACTAGCTGAAAAAGGGAAGCAATATGTGTAATAATGATAACTGTCAACTTTTTATATGCAATGTACAATTAGACTCACAAATAAGGCTAAAGCACAAGGCTAGATCTCGAAACTCAAGAATTTGATATCAAATTGTAATATTGACCTACAAACTGCATGAACTTAACAATAATATCATACCTTACCATGGTAATTAGAGATTAACAACCCTAGCTAACTTACCATAGTAGAAAAAAATTGACTACAATTAAAAAGAGCAAACCATAGTATAAAAGAAAAAGACCTAAATTAAAGGTCTATTACAATTAATAAAATTAAACTTACAATTTGGACTTGAAATAAATACAAATAAATAGACCTTACCATAATAGAATAGTCACTATTATGGTAGAAAGGATTAAAACAATTTTATTGGCTATTAGTATACTAGAAAAGTTTAAAACCCATCATAATAAACTATAAAAAAAACCAATCAATAAGATCCCAAGATAACAAGTATTTCAAAGCATAGAAAGG